TAAAAAGATGCTAGTTTATGAATAAAATGTCAATTTGTTTTGTATATGTAGTATATTCCATAATTCAATCCACCTGGTCTGATTTCATCATAAACCATTACAGATATTAATCATTTGTTAATTTTAAAACAATTTCGTAGATGGCTCTCTCTGTTGGATCGGACTTCAATTTCCTAAATTTAGTATTATCATTCACAGTTGTTAAAACGTTTTCTATGTATTCTTCATTATTAAGAATTAATATAGCATTGCCTTTAATAGGGTTAAGAACTACAAAATTACCCAATAAAGTTTCAACAATTCAATGTTTGAATTCAAGTGTTAAATCACATGTACAAAATTACTTGGGATAATCAGTAAGCTATTCTTGGACGTGGTTTATAAGGCTGTGACTTTCTTCCTAACGATTTCAGCATAAGTGAATGGAAAATTATATGATAACATTTCTGGAGGTGTGCAAACCTGAGTTAAGATCCCTGATTTTCATCTCAAGCTCACGCCCAATCTCTTCCAGCTCCTCTTGCTGATGCTCTATGTTGGTCATTTCTGCCTGAATCTCTTCCAATGGAATCTTGCGAATCTAAATAAGATAATTTTAGTTGCAGAAGTAGACAAATGAAAGCTAAACCTGCAGTAATTTTAACTATGACTTCCATTTTTGAAGGGCACAATTTAAACTTTAACACAGTAGTTCTTTACTTACACAACCATTAAATCCACATATATTATAACTTATTCATCTAATAGTTCTGGCTCTATATATTTTCCTCATAAAAATAAGTTAGTGTTTTGAATGATGCAAGTTAACTAGACATAAAAATATGATACCCTATAACCCAAGTGCTTTTGAAAGATGGACATTTCTTCTTTAGGGGCCCCTGAACATTAATCTGTATCTTTGGAATGCATAAATCAAACTTAACAATACCTGTCTTCTTGGAGGAATTGGTACGGGAGGAGCAGGACGTTTCTTCTTCTTCAAAAACCCCAAAGTCTTGTTTTCTGGCGAC